ATATGTAACATCTGAATAGTATATCCTATAACACGAAAAAATGTTAAGAGCCAGTCGAATTGGCATCGTGCTCGAATATCTTAGTTTTTAATTAATATTTCTAGCTCACAGTTCCCTTTACGGAGGTAGGTAGGGGCTACCTCTGTAAGATTCGCTATATAAATTATGTACTACATGAAGCATAAATTATATACTATTTTCATGTTCAAGATCCTGATATAATCCACCTGAATGCATATATTTATACTTTTTCAGCACAAGGTTTGATAATTGAGTAACTTTAGTTATTGAACCAGGATTAAATTCAAACTTTGTATACAAGATATAAAGAAGATATTATCCTGACATACTGACTGAAAGACAGACAACGCACAGTCTAAACCGCTAGTCGAAGAGACTTGAAAGGACGGTACATTCGTTTTACATACAGGGTAATGTATACCGATAAATTCTGATAATATCTTATTTAAACGAAATTAAAGAAAATGATTAAAATATAAAACGTATCCAACAAGAAAAATAATAGAATTTTGTAAACCAATACATAATAATGAACTAAATCGTTTCTCTAGTCGGTTTAAGATAAATTTTAATATGATAGAGCTTTGCGCGTCTAGTATTTTGACGTAAAATGCCTATTTGTTTTAATAGATATAACAATATAAAAATGTATGTACCAATTAAAACAATTATAAGAGTATACAAATTACCTAATTTCTAAATATTATCAATAGGATTAATTACGTATCGTCCCTCTAAATATCTAACCTCCTTCCTAAACGGTGAACTAAGTACAATAAAATTTTTATCACTATGTTTATAATCTCTAATGACCACGGAACTAGGTCTAATGTCTCATGTAACCTTGATCTATTCATTTACCAAGTGTCAATAAAATTCACGTCGGCGCAAATTATAATGTACTTACGTATATACTTTGCTTGAAATGAACCAGTTTTAAATAAGTAAGTACTTTTATCAAGTCTCTGTGACAATAATTTGCGTTTATTTTAAAAGTTATTTTAATGTCAAAAATTAAAAGACAATTATAAATGCAGAATTTTTAAACAGTAAACAAATGGAATAGTTTATATCGTATAACGTAATAATATTAAGACTGCCTCTGTTTAGATATTATACAGACTTTTAAAACACTAGTATCATGACATACCAATAATTCCTTTGAAACACTTTCATTCCGATCCGTACATTATTGTGTCACATTATATATACATATACATAACTAAACTTACAATTGTTATTAGAGATTTGTAATTGAAAGTAATATTTTTCTTCTAGAATTAGCAGCAGAGCTTGCCATTAGAACATTTAAAAACAAAACAATTGGTTAGTACAATTAGATTAATAATTAGTAGCGTAATATTTACAATCACAGTCAATAACGAAGAAAGTTTTCTTTATATCACAGAAACCATTCATAATACTAAAACAAATAACGTTAAAAAATTTTCATCGGCCATTACAATCATCCGAGCATTAAATTAAGGCATTGAGAAATCCAATCAAAGGGACAGAGGTATAGGGTCATTTGAAAAAAGAACGAAAACACCCAATGTCAAATAATAAATTTCGTAAACTTTATTGATTTTAAAAACAGAGTTTCAAATACTCTGAATAAGGACAGGTGATTCAAATATTAAGTATTCGAATCTTATTGTAAAATACAATTTATTGTCATTGTTGAAAGTTTCATATATTTAACTTGATTCGAATACAAAACTGTAAAGGTTCATTCACATTACGAGGCTGCTCATATGAACAGTATTCGAAAGGTAGCCAAGCGATATAGAAAGACGTTGAAACTTTGCGATGTCATTAAAGAAAAAAATAGTTGGTATGTGATAATTACTGTGCCAGCGTTTAAAAAATACCTATGTGTGTTTTAAGCGACTTAAACGTCATAATAATATATTATATGCAATTAATTTTCATATTTTTCGTGGTGATCTTTGATGTAATTTTCACTATATCTATCCAAAATAATACTAAGATTCATTATTATGTCTCAGACTTTCGAGAGGTTGGTGTGCTTGTATGAAGAAATGTGTAAAAAATTTACTGTCTTGCATTCTTTTTTTTTTTGACAGACAGACTTCGTAATGGTTTATGATAATAATTACTTGTCATTAAAAATCAGGTTGAAGCAGTAAATTTTTTTTTAAATCATGATCGATTTAATAATGCAAACATTATCAGTAACCTTTACAATGCGATACAATCTCAAGTGTGATTCAGCTAATACTCTTTTATCAAATGTTGTTTTCTGATTTTTTTTTATTTATAATGGGCTCGCTCTTAACCCCAATCTAGCCCAAGGGCATAAATGAGATTTACGGTGGGACGAGCTTGCCTGGGTCTGGGTTATATACACTCGGGAATATAAACTCAATACTTCTGTATTCTTTAAAGTATTATATAAAATTCGATTCAAAATCTTGTACCCTCTAAATATAAAATAGGCCACAATCTAGTACTTTTAAATTTAAAATTAGATTGATATGTCATACCTTCAATTATTACATTACCATTATAAAGAAAAAACTTCATTCAGAATCATTTATTTTGTTTTTTTTTCAAATCAGTCAATCAGTGATCAGTTAATCAGTCAATATACAAGTAACAATCGACATAGTAAATATCGGTACAAAGTGCTAAACAGCTGTTTTATTAGCGAGGTTCTAGTGCGAACTAAAACAGGCGGACGCAACCTTGATAGTTGACCGCCCAGGACACAGCGAGTTTCACAATTAGCTTAACTGCGGTTTATAATAACAACGACAACTATCAGAATCGACACTGAAATTAACGTAATCATTTATGCGTAATTATTTATAGATTACTGGTTAACTACCTACTACTTCGTAACAAGTAGCTAAGGATCGTGTGACTAGGACAAAAGTACAAAAAAAAAAGAAAAATAAATTAAATCAGAATACAATAGTCTAACTAATATCAAATTTAAATCTAATAATTAAGCATCTAAAATTCTACCATTTGAAATTGAGATTAATAATAGATTTAAATTACAACATGTATAAGGACAGTAGATAAAAATACTCTTAATTTTAAGGCGATCTACCTATATCCATTGATTTATTTTTATAATTCCATTAATTTATACAAACTTATTCTATCTGGAGACAAGAAAAGCTTAACATATGTAGAGACACACCTTAGTTGCATTGAATTAATTATATTATTATCCATTTAATACGCTAATTAGATCAAACTCCTCGAATTCAAACTACTTATGCACTGAAGTACACAATAATTGGTTATAATAATGCAAATGAAATATCACTTTGTGTAACGTGCTGTTAAAGGGACTGAGTTTGAAACCAAGATTAACTAGAGTTCCGACATCGACAACCTTATGGTAACGCAATAAGGTTGGATATTTATTCACGCTTGGTATTCGCATTCTTGTAAAATGCATTGACCCTGTTGTCCGTTTAGGCCATTAAACGCGCTAGTAAATTTATTTAGACGTTTTTTGTCACTACATTAATGTTATGGTTTATTAGTGACAATATTTAAATATGCTTTGATATTATTAATTAATTACACTATATTTATTACGAAGTCTATATTTAAACATTATTAGACCCCGATATCGATGGTGCAAATTGGTAATTGGATGTTTTTAGAGATTGGTAAAAATAATAAATAATGCATTTTTACTAATATGAAACTACTGTAAATATCGACCTCATAAATATTTTTACCCGACTCCTAAAACGTCCTGTTACTAAATAGCACCTCCGATAACGATATATAATTTATTAGTAGGATCTTAGTAAAGACAGACCTCTCTAACACCTTTTGGATATAAACGCATATAAAAAGCATTCACACCAAGTAAAAATATTATTTGAGGAAGTTATAATTTGAAGCAATTCCGCATAATAAACCGAACCAACATAGGTAATGCTACGCGGATGAACATATAAAAATATACTATATATATATCAGAGTCAGGCAAAAGTTACATTTATATTGACCGCAACCTTTTCATTTAGGTTATAAAAGAAAAAAAAAGTTTACGGTCGTTATTAATAGTCTACACACAACTTTTGCCTGAGTTTGATATGATTTGATTTGGCCAATAAGTTCCTATTGTATTTCACTTTTAAAAAATGAAAACTTCTATATTTGAAATCTGAGAATCAAATGCATTATAATGTTAATACGTAACAATAAAATAGCTAGAACAAGTAAGCAAAGAAGTCGCTAGTTTAGCGGCCACACAATCTATCGAATGCGGAAGCGCCGTTCGGTTAGTAGCGCACCCGAATTATTACATACTTCAAATTGAAATCATTTATAAAACTAGTTCATTTTTTTTCTAAATACCAAACAAATTTGAATATATTGAAACACACTGAATATATTTTCAATGTTGAAATAGTCCTTTTTCTGGTTGCCTAGAACGAATTGCTGTACAGCGTAAAAACCACCAATTGCACCATTAGACGTTTATTAATTGCCATGTGACGTTACGTTACAGTTAGATATTACGTTTCTGAAGAATTCTCAAAGTATTCCGACAAGACTGTGTCATTTTTGCTTAAGGTATCTAAAAGTTTTAATTCAGATGATTGTAAGTGAGCACATGACTTTGTTTTGTTTCGAATAGTATAGTCAAGCAACAGAGATAAACAGAAGTCAATAGTTTCTATTAAATAGTAGAACGGTATTTTAAATGCGAGTAATAGATATTAATAAGAATCGTGTTACACGTACTAGACAAAATTCATACTTTTTCAATCCTGTAAATAAGCAAATAAGTAATAGAAAATAAATATTACATTATTGTGTGCTGTACAGTATGTTATATATTTGTTTAATGTGACTAAGAAATGGCGTTAAAATTAAAATTTGTTCGTCTAGTCTTGTTTAGGGAGTAGTACAACATAATTTGCACTGTCTTAAAAAAACTAGACCTACTTAGCTCTAAATATTTATTCTACTAATATTACCTGCGTGGTCCTCAGAGCGCTGGTGACAGCTAGCAGCGCCAGCGCCGCCACACTCCACCACACAGCCCGCATCTTGTGCGCTGCAAAAATACATATTATTTTACTATTAGAATACTACTTATAATCTAAATGTTATGTTATTCCTTAAAGCACATGCCTTCCTATGGATGGAATCGAAACGAACGAGAGAATGGGCCTTGACCTCCCACGCGGGTCCGTGTGATTTGGAGGATTCGACTACAAATGCAGACCGAACCGACAGTTTAACGAGATTTTTGAAGCACGGAACTGGAGATAATATTTTTTGATCACCCATCCCGGCCCTTACGATAGTTGCTTAACTTGCACATCGCAGACCGACCACGCTTTTCTGCGCCATCCAGCTCCAGGAAATAATTAATTAATCCTTTGTAGGTTTAAAACCAATACAATATTTATCATGAATTGTTTAATTTTTTATCTTGCCGATTAGGAGAAAGGAGTTTTAGCATTAAAATAAATATACGAATGTAGAAACATACTATAAACTTTGGCATTTTTAATATTTGTTCATACTCGAATGAATGTGAAGACAAAAGAACACTTCTCATATGTAGTGACAGGCATGCGTCGGCGGTGATGTCAAGACGCACATCAATTTCACGCCGCTTTCGCTATCAAAGCACAGATTGTAAAGCTTTCGATTTAACATAAATTCCTCTAATAAACAAGTTTCCACTAATTTCACATTTTATCAACTTTGTCAAATCAATATGTTTATATATTTTAAGTAGAAGTGGTTCAGTGAGAGATTCAAACATTTATAATTATAATAAATATCAAATAATACTTTTATCGCTTAAATATTTTGGATTGATAAATGAATTTTTGTTTTAAAAGAATATTGTCCTTGGAGAACAATGTTGATGATGTTTTGTGACTTTACTTTATTATATTTTAAACTCTGGTTACATTAAAAAGAAAATTAAATTTTAATTCCGAACCCGGTAAAGTTATTATTAGTAATAGTTATGTTATTAAATTGTGTTTGATTTCGAAATGGCGTCTCCTATCCTCAATTTTATGGCATAATTCGAAATGTTGCATATCGAACGTAACAAGCGTCACGAACGCTTACACCCAGACACGCAACGACACATGTAGTTATTTTTCGAAGTCAATGATCTATGTGTGATGCATACATATTCGTCTTCATCTTCGCTGTCACGCAATGGTTACAAGCTGAAGTGCATGCTACTGTGTTACTGTTTACTCATGATTACAATTGAAGAGTATTATATTTCTAACAATATTCAGTCAGCTGAAACATAAATATCAACAAACACTATATATATAAGCTATGTCGATTACTTTCGATCTGTTTAGGATCACCAGATTTCAGATCCTTAATATATATTTATTTAAAGATAAATTAAACTTGATATATATTTTTATAAGTTCCATATTAATTTTATTAAGGAAGTATTTTCTCTGTTGTGGGCCTGTTGGTAAAAATATTTCATTGTAAATAACCAGTGCCCTTGTACTAATGTCTATAACATTTGTTCACGTGAAATTGTATGTGTGTACAAAAAAAATATTGAGTGACTTTCGGCTTCGTAAGCCATTACACTTAATTGTATATTTTTGTTCACATGTACACCCCCGTCTCCGTTATAATGACAATCTCCATCCAAAGGTTGCCTAGAAGAAATCGCTTTAAGCGATAAGGCCGCCAATTGTTTGCATTTTAATTAAGTTTAATTTATGTTTGTTTCTGTAAATAGTGTAATCTCAACAATAAAGAGTTATCTATCTATCTATTTATCTACGGGTAGGATACACTGCTTGAAGACTCTCGCTTCGAAACTTTGTGGGATAGAAAATGCGAAGACTCGTCATAATTTGCCTATTTAAAAAAATTGTAAATATACACACTACGTCAACTCTAAACATTATACAATTAAGTATTATTGAAATTAACTCAATCTTTATAGTAAAAAAATCACATAATTTATAATAGTTGACAACTTCCCTACAAATAATGACAGTATTGCACACATGGAACTATCACGCACCATTTATTCATCAATTAGTGCGCTTGCGTCGCAATCTGACTGTGTGCACTATCCGCCCTGCTGCACAACTGGGTAACATCACTATTAATCAACGACGAATTGTTAAAAGTGTAAAACAAATTATTTGGTATACGATATTTATTATTTATCCTTTTAATATTTCCGTGTAATAAATAATACTCTTATATAACTTATTACAAGTATAGAGATATTTGTAAGAATCATATATTTAATCAGAGTTACTTAACATTATCCAGCAAAAAACCTATCATTCTAATGTAAGTGACCAAGTGAGCTTAAAGCAACATATTATTAAAGATGTTTTATCAGTTGAGTAATCATCGTCAGCCATTCAAAAATTCCCACTTCTGGGGCACAAAAAGGGAACATGCGCCATGACCCACAATTTCTGAATGATATTAACGATTGCAGCCAGGTCCAACAGCTTAAGGTGCCTTCCGAAGCACGGAGGAGCTCGAGATCTTTTTATATATATTTTGGAACCAATCCGAAGACAGGCCGTTGGGAAGGTTGCTTGTCTTCCGTATCGCAGACAGATCGCAAAACAACAGCACCATCAAGCTCCTCCTGTATTTATTTGAGTACGTAGAATACTACATTTATTCAAAAGTATTCAGAACACCCTTAGTTAAAAGAAAAGAGTACGTTTTTTTATTGAACAGTCTATTATCTATACTAAAATTTACAGAAATAAATTATATCGCATAAAAAACTGTACTCATATTTCAGTGAATTATTTATTGCACCTGCGTGCAGCGCATATCATAATCTGTTGCAACTGCATCGCTTTCGCTGCGACCACAACACCCACTTACTATTTAGAGCGACAACCGCTCTGATTGTATAATTGTTGAGTTAGGAACATCTAAGCCATCACTGCTACGATTAAGATATCACACATAGAGCTAATTAATAATTTGCCTGATTTTAATAGGAGTATTATTGTCTACTTTATCGTTTATTGGCTTCTTATTTATATCTGATTTAAGAGCTATTTTTGCATTGAACTAAAAAAAAATGTTTTTTTCCATGCATTCAACAAGTAGGATCAGTTTCATTTAAAATGTATTGTATATTATTTGTCCTAACACATGTGACAATCATAACACTTGTAAGATTAAACTTTCATGAAGGTTCTAAATTGCATATTTATTCAAATTATTATTTTGTATTAATATTATTAATAATGTTAGTTTAATTGATTTATTCTGAAAATGCGACTTCCGCTTAATTATCTTTAATGTATAAATTTAAAATTGAACCAGAAATACTTAATATCGTAACTGTTAGTATCAATTCACTTGCGTATGTATTTCTTTAGTCTTTCAATAAATAAAATGTGCTAAGACTCGGCCAACTAACACATTACGGGAAAGTCTCTACAGCGACGTGTAATTTGTCTTTAATTGCCATAAATTGAATTTTATGGCAAACTTTCACTATTACTTTGTATTACAAATGAACAAATATATGCAGTAAATAGACGTAACTTCTTTTTACTGTAGAGCCTTATAGGTAAAATTAAAACAACACCCATGATTAGTTAAAACGAATAAAATTGCTATTATTTTATACTGCAAATTCTGTATGGTAAGAAAAGATGGGTTAAAAGAACGGAAATGCTGAAATTTAATTTTATCATATCATTAATCATTAATAGAATTATTAACGAGCTTTTAATAAAATTTCAATGACATAAACGTAAACGTATGTAATAATATAAATGAAAAATATATACAGTATCAATAATAATAATAATAGAATCATTTCTATAATTAAATAATATTATTTAGCACCATTTTCATGGTTATTACCTCTGAATAGACTACTGAAAATGAGCATCTATAGATAGGCTTTTATTTTTATAAATATTTTTCTATTTCTTACTGTATTATATCGATATAATAAGATCTAGTTCTTTCCATCTCAGTTGTTAAAATTTATATTCTAAACTATAAAATATATTACTAACACATATTTTATATTTACGTATTCAAAAATTTATATATGAATATTACAAATAGTTACATAAAATTCTAACATAATGTTTATTTGGGTAATAATTACTAAAGATGGGTAATTTTAAGTTTAATTACCGTAACGGCTGGGACAGTGTAGAAAAATACATTAGGCTTATTAAATAAATTGTAGTATCTTACATGTGCTTACTAAATATTAGATTCTTTTTAAAGAGACCTTACAATTTCACTCACGAATAAAACATTATATTTTTCAGTACATTGACTATAGGTATGTTTCTGTAGAAACCTATAACTTAAATAAGAATCTTAGGAATCAATATATGATATAAAAGTCATAAAATAGTCAAAATAAGATTCTTATAATTAGTATATATGATTTGATTGATTTCAGTGATTTTATTATATCGATTTTTTAACAGCGACATTGTTTTACCTTCAAAATGTATGAATGTATATTTTTATACAGATACCTTAAACAGATTTTTAACAGAATTCAAAATCCAAAAGGAGGAGGTTCTATGTTCGACGGCGATATATGTTTTTTTATGTATATTCACCGATATTTCCGCCAATCGTTTACCGATTTTCCAAATTCTTTTATTCGACAGCTTAATCGACCGAGGTGGTCCAATTAAAATTTTTACGAAATCGAATCAGTACTTTTCGTTTTATAACAAAACAAAATACGCTTTTCACCAGTTATCACCTAAATTTTTAGATGATATATATTGTGTTTCGTGTATTTCATCTAAAAACAAAAGATTGCGTTTGTGGAATTTATTCAAAATCCGAAAGGAGAATTTTCTATGTTCAAGGAGTATGTAATTTTTTTTATAAATATGTTAATCGATTTTTCTTGAATTGTGAACTATTTTCCAAAAATCTGATGTGAATTTAAAGCATTTGTTAAAAGCATTTTTTAATAGTGTAAATGAGGAAATATATTAACTTATTCTAGTAAGGTTTTAAGTGTATACTATAGTCTACTCTTAGTGACCTTTAGAAAATAATAGTATTTAC